GGCAATTTTCCCATGCCAATGGAGACAATCTAAGCTTCCTAGCATTCCAGGAAACCCATGCACACTAGCATGATGAGCTTGCAATTGCAGGACGTCATTACGTGTAGGCTTACGTAAATATTTTGGACCATAAATTGAATCACAATTTTGCAGAAAAAATGGAGATTGTCTCATGCTATCATAGCATACATCCTATAACTTTTGTCTAACGCATCAGACGGAATGTCATATGCTAATTGACGAAGTGCGGCCGTGCATTTTTGTAACGGAGTGACACCGAGTGTACCTTTAGCATCGTAGCATTGTTGGAAAAAACTGCACTCCCTTGTTACATCTTCAACTATACGTTCGAATAAACCTTTGAGCATTATGAATCGTCTACGAAAATAATACCCTTGGTAAGTGGCATTCTCTGCAAAATAGTCTTGCACCAAACATTGGTTGGCTTCTTCACGATTTCTGTAAAAATATCTTTGTGTTCTCTATTGAGAACTTGCAGCTGCATTGTTGCATACAACGTTGTATGTTTATTCCGCCATTTGAACACATGCAATAACGGTATCAAAAATAATCTGAAATTTTTTAGAAGATGAAGAATATGATATTTTTGGGAGAGTGGTGATTAAAATTTTTTTTTCTTCTGAGAGAGAGGAGATTGTGTTGTAAAAAAAAAAATTGATATATATATATATATATATTATATATATATATATATATATATATATATATATATATATATAGGAAAGAAAAAACAAAAGAAAATTACACGGATATTTCGTTCAACAGTCAAAAGGTGACCAACCAATCAGAATTCACGGTGTTCAAGAGCTGCACCGCGGTTTTGACCGTAGGAAACCGCATCCTGGGGGCGGTGTTCCATGCTGAGGTGGCAGCAATCGGGACCGCACCATATCCTGTAGCCTGATGTGTTCTCGGTCCCCAAAAAATAAACTAAATTTTCAATAATATAACATATGATCTGGTGAGATTTACTATGTGTTATAAGGTGAATGAAGTGATAAAAACCATGCATATTTCTTATTAATTCACATATTATATTGTACATAAGACATTGATTACATTCACTTTCCGGGAACAAAGTTTGTGGCATAAGACCAGGCATTGTTGGCAACGGGGTCAGCAAGGTGGTCAGCGAGGTTCTCGAGTGGTCCCTTCCCTGTGACAATGGCTTGAACAAAGAAGCCAAACATGGAGAACATGGCAAGTCTTCCATTCTTGAGCTCCTTTACTTTCAACTCAGCAAAAGCCTCTGGATCATCAGCAAGCCCTAATGGGTCGAAGCTACCACCAGGGTAAAGTGGGTCAACAACCTCTCCCAAGGGTCCACCGGCGATTCTGTAACCCTCAACCGCACCCATCAAGATGACTTGGGTGGCCCAGATGGCCAAGATGCTTTGGGCATGGATCAAACTAGGGTTTCCCAAGTAATCAAGACCACCTTCGCTGAAGATCTGGGATCCAGCCTTGAACCATACAGCCTCACCGAACTTCACACCATTACGAGCCAACAGCTCAGGGAAGACGCACCCAAGAGCTCCAAGCATCGCCCATCTGCTGTGGATCACCTCAAGCTCACGGTTCTTTGCAAATGTCTCTGGATCTGCTGAAAGCCCAGCGGTGTCCCACCCGTAGTCACCGGGGAACTCACCGGTCAGGTACGATGGGGCCTCGCCGGAGAATGGGCCTAGGTACTTCACCCGGTCAGGACCGTACCATGGACTTCCTGATGGTGCAACCTTCTTTGCAGCTGCCGTTTTCCTCATTGAAACTCTTCCATTTCCGAACACCTCAGAACCTGATGGAACTGTTTTCACCGCTTGTCCGGCGAAAGCAGATGAGAGAGCCATGCTGGAAGCAGCCATTGAATATCTTCTCAAATTATATACTGAATATTGGAGGCTAGCTGACTGCTTGAGTCTGTTGAGCTCTTCACAAGTGCTATAAATAGGATTGTGGATTATCTAATTTGAAAGGTGTTTATCTTCCGGATCTATAGCTTTCTGTTGATTGGAAGATGATATCTTTGATCATGGCTATGAACAGCATCTATCCAGACCACCAACCAAAGAACGACACATGTATCTTTAGTTAAGTAGTTCCAAGATTTCCTATCCTAAAAATCTAAAACATACGTCTTGCACTGATGTGCCTCAAAGCAAACCATGACTCAGTGTTTAATATAATTAACATATGTATTTGAATTGAGATTTGTGGGTTGATAACCCACTGTATTTTACCACGTTAGGAATTGCTTTTTTCATAAAGTATATCTTGATGCTACAAAATGATATTTTAAATTTGAGAATTTTTATTACTTTGAAACAAAAAAAAAAATAGTATATGTTTCGATGCAAATATATGCCTTTAATTTTGTGTTTGTTTAGTGACTTTTCCCTAAGAGTATGTTCATTTTTGTTGCTACATTCATTGTAAAAATATTATTTTGTTTTTCTTTTATATTATAATTTGATTCTAATGGGCGGTAATTATTGTTAGGGCATGATCGGCATGCAGCATTTGAGAGTTTCTGTCTTCTATCTTTTAAGAAAACACTATTGAAAAAGAAAAAGTCTTGTTCGACAACAAGAGCTTTTTAGCTTTTAGCATAAACAATACGCTTCAAAATCAAAAGCTACACGGAGTAGCTTTTAACAGAACGTTTCAAAATCAAACGCTACCTACTACCAGCTATCCGCTATCCGCTGCCAGCTAGTTTTGCTGAACACGCCCTTATGTGTATAATCATAACAAATTAACTTTCACTATCGGATTGTCTACATCATATTCAATATGAAGTATAGGTATACATGCATGATAAGTTTTTAATCACAGATGACACTTTATAAGATTTATAATGATGCAATACTAATGAACACACATATTAAATCAAATGGAATCACATGCGGTGGCAAACGCAAAATGTTTTAGTAAGGGTGGCACCCAAAAAAAAAAATCGAAAAAATCTAAATTAATTAGCCATTGCAGCTAATACAAAAAAATTACACTACTTGTTAGAATCTGAGCAGTGTTCCGGGACAACCCCCCCCCCCCCCCCCCATGCGGGCTCCACTAACGTCTGCCACTGCTCACATGGACCGCTCTACAAACCATGCTACCTTCCTTGTCATACACGGCCACCAATAACTCAGTTTCAGATCTCGATACATTTTTGTGGCCCCCGGATTGATCGAAAACTTTGACTTCCGAGCCTCTTCTAGAATTGTTTGCCTCACCCCAACAGTAGTCGAAACCCAAATTCTACCACACTGAGTCAACAACCCCCGATCTGTCTCTGACAAATAAAGGATTCGCCCCCTAATTCGCTCTGCTTTCCAATTCTCCTTTTTCAATCCCTCCACTTGATCCTTCTTGATTATATCCAACAGAGGCAAAATAATAACCATCCTAAGACGAATATCCCTGATAGGGGCACTCACTGCCTTACGGCTCAAAGCGTCACCCACAACATTGGTCTTCCCAGGGTGGTACAAAATATCGTAATCACAATCTTTTACCACATCTAACCATCTCCGTTGTCGCATATTTAAATTCAGATGGTCCATCAGGTACCTCAAACTCTTGTGGTCAATGTAAATGGTACACATAACCCCATACAGATAGTGCCTCTAAATATTTAGAACAAAAATCACAGCCCCCAACTCCAAATCATGCGTAGGGTAACTCGCCTATGAGGCTTCATTTGCATCGAATGTGTAAGCAATCACATGACCCCTCTACATAATAATAGCTCCCAAATCCGATATAGAGGCATCACAATAAACCACAAAAGCATCCATACCCTCGAGAAGCATGAGAATCGGGGCCTCACACAATCTCTGTCTTAACGTCTCAAAAGCCAACTGTTGATCAGACCCCCACCGAAAAGTAACATTCTTTTTCGTCAGGCGGGTCAATGGCACTGCAAACTTGGATAAATCATGGATAAATCTCCAATAATACCCCACGATACCTAGGAATCTCCGAATCTCAAATGGGGTCCTTGGAACCTCCTATCGCATCACGACCTCAATCTTGGTTGGGTCAACCAATATACCATTCTTGTAACACCCTATTTTCGGTCATTTCTTATTTTAGGTTCGTGGACTGGAAGTCAATTGTGTAAAGGCTTTGGGCCTTAAGGATGTAATGTTTAGACCTTTTGGAAGGAGGCAATGATGGTTGCAGGATCTTAATTTTTGAATTATGTTTCGGGCTGAAGGGTAGAAAAGGTAAAATCATAGGTTGTGATCGTTCATGAAATATGGATTTTTGTTCGAGAAGTTTTTAGTCCAAGATATCTAGAAAAAATTATGGGGCTCTTCAATACCTTTTGTGGACATAAAGATTGTCGAAAACGGAGTTGAAACGAAGAAGTTATGACCGTTGTAAGTTGAGAAGTGTTGGTTGCTTTGGACCTTATAGATCCAGGCCTTGTTCACCTTGTTCTTTCTTATGGGGGTATAAAGTTTGAATCTTGATGATTCATTTGTTAGATCTAGCTAGTTTTAGGTGTTATGAGCTTTTGGTTACTTTAAGTGCATAAGGTTTAAATCTTGAAAGTTGTTGACCTTGTTATGGATAAAGTTGGAAACATAATCCATCTAAACATCATATCGATTCATATCTGAAGGTTAGAGACTTAAACTTAATGGATTAAGTTGAAAAAGATGCACTTTTGGTCCCTTTGAAACTTAAAAGACTAGATCTTGGTTGTTTGCACAATTCTAATGGATAAAGTTGGAAACTTTATCCATTATGGAGTTAGTAGGAACCATAAAAATATGATATTGGTCCTTCTATCCCTTCCATGCAGGAGTTAAGATGTCTTAATGGATAAATAAATTAGGTTTTTATCTTTTGTACCTTTTCTAGCAATCGAAAGTCATAAATGTGGAAACTTTATGACTTAAGTCGATGTTTTGAGTCTAGATATGAGCTCAGGACAAAAGATCTTAAGGGGTTAAGCACTAAAGGAAGGAATTCTCTTAGACGTATCTATGTCGGGCGTACCTGAGAGTACGTTGTGTGTACTGGCCCTAAATCATGTACGCTGGGTATACGTGGAGTACACCGGGAGTACTCACCTGCCATGGAATTTGATTTTTGTTGACTTCCGTTGACCATTGACTTTTTGACTATGATCTTTGGTCAAACTCGAGGATTTGGACTATTAATTAAGATTTTATCTGGTTATGGTGTTAATGGATATGTGGGTGCAAGGGGCAGAAAAGGGATCGTATCGTAGTATCTTAGAGTTCTTCAATTCAAGTGAGTTTTTCTCATTGTACTTGTGGGTCAAATGCACCAATACCATCTCACTAGGTTATGTATCCTGGTATAGAGGATCTTGTTGTGTTGTAGTAGTCTGTTATATCTGTGTCCTGGTATATAAGATGTTGCTATGCAGTAGTGATCTTTACATCTGCTTGTTTGTCTGATTGGTTATATGATTATTTGTTTGCTGCATATATATATATATATATATATATATATATATATATATATATATATATGTTGACATGGTATAGTTGGGTTGAGGCAATCATGCTATGTGCGGAAGCCGAAAAACCTAGGAGCAAGCCAGACAAAAGTTTTGGGCCAGTAAGGTAAGCTAGACTTATGTTGTAAGCTCGGGATCAAGCCAGACATAAGTTGTGCACCAGTGAGGCAAGCCAGACTAATGATATGGGCTCAGGAGCAAGCTAGACATGAGTTGTGGGCCAGAAGGCAAGCCAAACTCATGATGTGGGCTCAAGGGTAATCCAATCTGTTATCGGTGGACCCATTATACATGTTGTTATATGTTTATGTGGTGGTATTTTGGGGGAACTCACTAAGCTTCGTGCTTAAGTTTGATTGTTATGATTTCAGGTACTTCAGATGATCGTGGGAAAACAAAGGCATGATCGTACACATCCTTTGATAACATGTTTCTAGAAGATTTTGTGATACAATGATCTTGGGTTATTTGTAGTTGATACAATTGATACTTTTTTATATGGGTTTTGTTTAAAAATATTGATTTCTCTTCATTTAAAAATGAAAAATTTTACCGTGATTTTAGGATGTTACATGTTGATATCAAAGCCCTGGTTTGAGTGAATTGGATGAGCATTTGTGTGAATCCATTCTCAAGTTAAGGATCTGTAAAAGTTTTCAACATTGTTTTCAAAAATTGTTTCAAGTTGTTTCAAAATTATTTTCAGAATTGTTTTCCAAATTGTTTTCAAAGGTAACCAAAGAAGGATGATATGTGTATAATTAACCGGATCAAGAAAGTGTACCCCAAAATACCCACACTGTTATTTTCTTATGATGATTATGATAGAACTGCATGCTAGTAGTATGTTAGGGATCTTCAGGATTTTCATGATAGAATTGTATGATGTATGATATCTGATAGCCTAGAAGGATTTTTTTGTATGTTAGGTGAAATTGACATCATTACTGTAGTTTCTTAGTGTGTGCATCATAGTTGTATATAGTTAAGATTCTATAGCCTAAGAATGTTTGATTTATCCTTATTTCTTGTTCTTGTCTGATCAAGGGCTTAGGGTAGGGTCAAGTATTCGACTATCTATATGATCCAGCGTTATGTGTGATTAGCACGTACGAGTGGCTATAGGGTTGGTGGAATTTTCATGAGTAAGTATGTGGGAGTAGTAGGCTAGTTAAGGAAGGATTAGCCACTCTCGAGAGAGTGAGGACATGATGAATGTGTATCCTAGATGCTTGGGCCTAGTGGTCAGGAACTGTATGTAAGGATCTGCCTAATTTTATTGTATCTTAGTGCCAGTCGGTTTCACTGCTCGAATATTGCTTGCTTTGTACTTTGTAGGTCTCATATTGATGTGAGTTAACT